CACATAATCAAGAGGAATTCTAGACGCTACATAAACTAAGCAAGTACTGCAAAAGTCTCAAACATACAAACAAAGACCTAGCCAGAATTTGAAACTATAATACATATAGCCTTCGATTCAAAACTCAAAACCAATATGTATAAAGAGAGAGTGTTTTGTTGGCCTGGAATTGGACCAACTTGATGAAGATTTTTTGGCTGTCCATCAAGCTTGCTCTTGTTGGCCAAGAGCTCTAATCGAATCTTATAAAGAGACTGCAAAACAAAAAAAACAACAGGACACATAACTACAACACATGGATACGAATTCATTCAACAAGGATAGTGAGACAAATAATCACTGGTAAAATGTCAAATAACTACAATCCAAGAGATACAAATTCATTCAACACATTCCTATAAAGTCGGAAAAAAAAACCGTAGATCAGAACATGATACTCAGATCTATAAAAATGAGAGATTCCTATACATAATCTGGAAAAAAAATAGGCGAGGATGTAAGAGAGATACGAAGAGCTATAGACGAGTTTACCCGACGGCGTGTGAAGAAGCGGGAAAATGAGGAAGACGACGCCATGGGACTTCAGCGACGACGTCCACGTACGGTGTTGAGTTGTGTAGGTTTACCGGTGAACGGAGCGGCAGAATGAACAAGGGGACGAAAAGAAGGGAATCAATAACGCCAATTTTGAAGGTGGTGAAGAAAGAGTCGAAGCAAAATGCAGATCTCAAGCCAGGGCCGTCTCAATTTTTTGTAATGCCCTATGCAAAATAATAAATTTTGAACCTTATGCAAGAGAAATTAAAAAAAAAAATTAGACCTTTTTTTTTAAAGAATTTAATCTTTTTTTATATGGACTTTGTGCGATAGAACCACTTGCCACCCCTCTTAGACGGTTCTGTCTCAAAGAGTTCTCGACTTGGCGACGAGAAATCGCAAAACCCCAAAACTTTAGGGATTTTGTTTGTTGATGAGAGATGGTCATACTGAATCTCACAGTTCATATCGATCGTTGATTATAATCTAACGGGTTGTAATATCATTTAAAGGTGTGTCATGGATCGATGACATGGCATTTTTTTGTAAAAATATATTTTAATGTGTAGTAATAATTTGATACACAAGTACACGAAACAAACAAATTTCACATAATTTGTGGCAAAAATTGCATAAATTTTTGAGAAATTTCAAAAAAATACCACTTTTCAAGTGACATTTTATAAAAATGCCACACTTTTGAAATCTTTACAAAAATGTTATTTTTCAAAATTATTTTTTCTTTATATTATTTATGTTTGGGTTAATTATGTTCCATTAGGGTTTAGTTTTGAGTGTTTATGGGGTTTTAGGTGTCAAAACATTTTTTAGGATTTAGAATTTTAAGATACAGACTTTATAAATA